TATTATAGTTTCAACCAGTATACCTGCACTGAAGTTAAGCTTACTGGTTTGTAATTGCCTGGATCACCTTTGGAACCTTTTTAAAAAATCAGCATCACACTAGCTATCCTCCAATCATCTGGTACAGAAGCTAATTTAAGTGATAACCATCAGGGATTCTCATGACAAATTTTTTGGTGGCCTCAGAATGTAGCCACCACCTCTTCCTGGTGGCCACTCTGAAACTTTTTCCTAAAATACTTAACTTTAGGTTTCAGAGTAGCAGCCGTGTTAGTCTGTATTCGCAAAAAAAAAAAGGAGTACTTGTGGCACCTTAGAGACTAACCAATTTATTTGAGCATAAGCTTTCATGAGTTACAGCTCACTTCATCAGATGCATTCAGTCATTTAGGAAAAACAAATATGCATATATACACATCCAAAACATTGTAGTTTATTTATTGCTAGCTAGTATGTTTAAAAACCAATATCACTTTTCACAGCAGACTTGCTAGCTAGGAAGTCTGTTGTGAAGTTTATGCTATTAGCCCTGACACAAATTAAGCACTGGATGGCAGCAAGGGGAGGCAGCGGGGTCCTGGGGCGATGAGGGGATGGTTGGGGGAGGAAGTGGGGGCCAGGGTGGGGAGTTCTACTGCCCCAGGGTTAGAGCCCGAAGTCCCATCATCCCTAGGAACTCACCGGTCGCCTGCTCCTCCAGTGTTGTGCCCCAGGTGTCTCCAGAGGTGGTGCAAGGTGGCCCCAGCAACCACCCCAAGGTGTTGCATACAGGAGCGACAGGAGGGGTGGGCACCACTGATTTCCCCCCTCCCCCCAGAGGCCACAAGAAAAGCTACTGGCGACCACTTGCGGCCATAGTGGCCGCGCTTGAGAAACGCTGTTACATACCCCAATTAATAATTCTGTAATTTCATATTTGAGTTCCTTCAGAACTCTTGGGTGAATCCCATCTGCTACTGGGGGCTTATTACTGTTAAATTTATCAATTTGTTTCAGAACCTCCTCTATGGACACCTTAATCTGGGACAGTTCCTCAGATTTGTCACTTAAAAAGAATGGCTCAGGTGTGGAAATCCTCCTCACATTGTTGTACTTAAAGTACTGCACAGGATCTTTTCAGGGGGGATAAGGCAAAGCACCACATTTATTGGTAATGCATGTATCAATCAACACTGTATCGTATGTATATGGTGTATATTACACTCATGCACTCACATACACAAGCACACTCTGTCTTGTTGTTTCAGAGTAGCAGCCGTGTTAGTCTGTATTCGCAAAAAGAACAGGAGGACTTGTGGCACCTTAGAGACTAACCAATTTATTTGAGCATAAGCTTTCGTGAGCTAGAGCTCACTTCATCGGATGCATAAAGTGGAAAATACAGTGAGGAGATTTATATACACACACACCATGAAAAAATGGGTGTTTATCATACACATTGTAAGGAGAGTGATCACTTAAGATGAGCTATTACCAGCAGGAGAGTGGAGTGGGGGGAGAGAAAACCTTTTGAAGTGATAATCAAGGTGGGCCATTTCCAGCATATTTCCAGGAGTTAACAAGAACGTCTGAGGAACAGTGTCAAACTGGACAGTCTCTACGTAATAGAATAAATGGACACAAATCAGATGTCAAGAATTATAACATTCATAAACCAGTAGGAGAACACTTCAATCTCTCTGGTCACGCGATTACAGACATGAAAGTTGCGATATTACAACAGAAAAAACTTCAAAACCAGAGTCCAGCGAGAGACTGCTGAATTGGAATTAATTTGCAAATTGGATACAATTAACTTAGGCTTGAATAGAGACTGGGAGTGGTTGAGTCATTATACAAAGTAAAACTATTTCCCCTTGTTTATTCCTGCCCCCCCCCCGTTCCTCATGTATCAACACATCCAAAACATTGTAGTTTATTTATTGCTAGCTAGTATGTTTAAAAACCGATATCACTTTTCACAGCAGACTTGCTAGCTAGGAAGTCTGTTGTGAAGTTTATGCTATTAGCCCTGACACATTCAGTGGAAAATACCTAGTGTGCTTTGCGAATACAGACTAACACATCTGCTACTCTGAAACCTCTCACTCTCTTACATGACACCATTACAGTGCCTTACAAGGAAGAGTTCTGCATCAGTAACCAATTTCACACATGCTTCCATAGTGATTACAAATTGATGCAAATACAGAGGAACTCTCCCATTTGGAGTTTCATCTTTATTATTTATAGTTACAAACACAGGGTGTAGACAGGAGATCAAGTAGTCTTTAATGAAATTGTTCAAAGTACAGAAGAGCACTGATAATCAGATTTTTTCTCACTCGTTTGCTTAATTCTGTTTCTTGCTAGCTATTAAATTGTATTTTTGTTAATACAAAAGGTGAAAAAGTCAACACCCTTTAATAGCACTAGGGAGAGACTTTCAGCTGGGAATGTAAGAGGACTTGGCCCACAGAAATTTTGGGGCTATTTGATTCCCTTGAACCTAACTGTTCTTTTTCCTGTATTTGTATGTATAAAGTGAGCAAATCTGGCCTGAAATTTGTTGCAAGAGGAAACAAAGAACCCCATTATACCCTTGTTACAGTCACTTCTCAGCATATAACTGCTTTTTAAAGAGGTTTCTGGAGCTTTTATTTACACAGATAACATTCTGCTACGTTGTGGGGCTGAAATGTGTGGAAACAATAGCAACATGAGTGATAATAGTGCGATTTATAGAAGAAATAGAAAATAAACATCCTAATCTTCCTTTTTGTGGGGGAAACTATGTTGGGTAAAAATAGTTCATGACCTTTTAAATGGAGACAGAGTGTTGGGCATATTCTGCTCTCAATCCACACACAGTGAATTTCCCACTGAAATTATTTCCTGGAAATATGAGCAGAGTCACATCAATGGCAGAATAAGAACTCTGATTTATGGAAAGTGAATGTCATATGGCATAGTTCCTTCTCATTTCATATTTTTTAGCTCAAAGAATCATATGACCATAACATCAGTTGACCCATAACATCAGCAAATTCATCCCATTAGCTATCCACCAGTCATCTGGTACTGAGACTGAGTTAAGTGATAGGTTACATACCATGGTTAGTTCTGCAATTATATATTTGATTTCCTTAGAATCATAGAATATCAGGGTTGGAAGGGACCTCAGGATGTCATCTAATCCAACCCCCTGCTCAAAAAGCAGGACCAATCCCCAATTTTTGCCCCAGATCCCTAAATGGCCCCCTCAAGGACTGAACTCATAATCCTGAGTTTAGGAGGCCAATGCTCAAACCACTGAGCTATCCCTTCTTCAGAAGTCTTGGGTGAATATTATTTGGTCCTTGTGACTTGTTACTGTTTGGTCTGTTGTGAATAGTGATATTAACAAACATACAAATATCACTTTTCACAGAAGCAGACTTACTAGCTAGCAAGTCTATACAAACAAAAACCAGAAACCAAAAAAGCAAAAGAAACAACAACAAAAGACAAGAACATGCGAAACACCTTATTTGTGTTTCTATTCTGTTTCGGTCCAGTAAAGAATAGGGACAACTGTATGTAGTTATTACTGAGTCTGCAAAAAAACCACACCCTACATACATAAATTACAATGATTTGGACAGGGATGTGTGCATATTTATTCGTTTTTCCTGAAGTTAATTAAGTTTTTTGGAAAAATTGCCGCACTGTGAGACCACCAAAAAAATTGTCGGGAGAACGCCTGGTCTAGGTCACGTCTACACGGAAGCGCTTACGGTGGTGGTGGTGCTGCAGCGTTTTCAGCGCAGACAAGCCCTTAGCCCTGGGTGGGAGAGGAGAGGAGAGAGTGTGGCTTAGCTAGTACAAGTCCTGCCTAGCCAGTGCGTCTCACCCAGGAGCACTCAATGACCCCAGATTTAAAAGGTTTGAAAGGCAAAGGCAGGGCAGTGTTGGGATCTCCTCGCCGGCTGAGTGACAGTGCGGAGAGACTCGAATGAAAGCGGGAGCAGATCAAGGGCCCTCGCCCCTGCCTCCTGCAGGCTGAGCCTTTGGGCTGCCCGGGGCTACCCGAGCCCGCCAGAAAGCAGGGGTTTGGGCCCCTTTTGTTTTCTCCTTTCGTCCAAGCGCCTCTGTCTTTCTCCCCGCGGCAGCGCCCGGCCCCCGCCGCCGCCTCCATCGCCCTGGCGCAGGGAATCCCTGAGCGGCGGGACTGGTTTGCCCAGGGAGCGGCCCCAGCTCTCTCGGCCGCTCCAGGCAGGGGCGCGGCGCGGCCGCCGGAGGGTTAAAGGGGTTATGGGCGGGGGCAGGAGGCGCCGCTGCCGGGCGTGCCCGCCGGTCGCGCACCCGGCGGCAGCCAGCGCCGCAGCCGGGGCGGGAGGAGGCACAAGCGGCGGGACGGCGAAGCCGGGCTCCGTGCTCCGGCGCAGCTCCCGCGGGGCGCTGCTGGCTCTCGGGCGGCCCGAGGAGAACAGGGGCGCGGGGGCACCATGCCTGGAAGCGACACCGGCCTGGCTGTGGACAGGACTTACTCGGACCCGGAGAGGCACCAGCGCGCCAAGACCCGGGTAATTCCCCTCTCGCCGCGCAGCCCGCGGGGGCTAGTTGCTCCCCCGCCACTACCGCTCTCGGCTCTTCCGTGTCAGGGGCTGCGCAGCGTCCCCAGGGGCTTGTTCCAGGAGCCCCTGTCGCCTCCCCGGGGATCTGGGCTGGAAATGGCTGGGGTTCCGCTCAGGTGCGAGAGACCGGCTTGTCTTGGGGGCTTGACAGGCGCCCGTCGCCTTGGGAGCCAAACCCAAACTGTCCCTGTAATCTCAGGTTTCAGCTCCTCTCGCCCCGAAGCAGCCACTGGGCGCCTGGGCAGAGAGCACACCTGGCCCACGGCTCCATTCCCCTGCGCGCTGCTCTGGCCTCCGAGCTGTGGCACTGGATTGCACTGGAGGTGGTGGTAGCTGCGAAAGCTTAGTGGGAGCGCTACGGATGAGGGACTCATGGCCGGCGCTTGAGACACTTAGCTCCGGTCTAAAGGTAGCGAAACAGCTTCTTTTGCTCCTCCTGATGACTACAAGCGGCAGCAGTTGTGGGGATGACAACTGTATTTTTTTTTGAAGTGAGGGCAACAAGTTGAGAGACTGCCTGAGGAGCTACCATGTAACAACCCCTTTGGATGGGCTAGCACCAGCAGGAGAGTGAATTTGTGTGGGGGGGGTGGAGGGTGAGAAAACCTGGATTTGTGCTGGAAATGGCCCACCTGATGATCACTTTAGATAAGCTATTACCAGCAGGACAGTGGGGTGGGAGGAGGTATTGTTTCATGATCTCTGTGTGTATATAAAGTCTGCTGCAGTTTCCACGGTATACATCTGATGAAGTGAGCTGTAGCTCACGAAAGCTCATGCTCAAATAAATTGGTTAGTCTCTAAGGTGCCACAAGTACTCCTTTTCTTTTTTTAGTGTAAGCAGTGTCAGTCTGAGCCATGAATTCAGATGTGCCTTTGAAAGAAAGCCTGCTGACCAAAGCATAGGTTCTCTATTTTAAGTAAATCTCACAAAATAGCTATTTCTATGGTTATTTTTCTTAACCTAAAGGAAAACTTTTAATAAACTTTCCCATTCAGTGTTTATAACCCAAACGTTGCTTCATTGCCGTGTTGCCTCAGAAACTGAAAATGAATGACTGTTGACAGACTGTAGAAACTGAAGATCAAGATAAATTCACTAAAGAAACTAGCTCAAGCTGAGAGTAATGGAAAACTACAAAAAGTGAACAGAAAACTAGCTGTTTAATTCTTTGAATATTAACTGTTCGTGCTTAGACACCCCTGGGATGTCTCCCTCAGAAATCCTTAGGTAATACAAGCAAAGGCTCTTCTTTTGTTTTAAATCTCCCTTAAAGGGAAGATCTGCAGAGCAAATGATTTTTCTGCAGTAGGGAGCAATTATTACTGCTCACTCCATTCCCCCCTCCCTCCCTTGCTCGTTCTCCCCCACCCACACTCACTCATTTTAACTGGGCTGGGGTGGGTCCATTTTCGACCTGGTGTTTAGTTGAAAATGGGACACCTGGCAACCTACATGCTAAAACTACTTCTAAGAGGGTTGGAGCAATACATTTATATACTGTAGTGTCCGTGAGGTACAATTTCATTGGGGCAGTTTTTCTCACGGTGCAGTGGCAGGTTAGATTTGTCTTTGATTATTTTGTGACTTTTTTTAATAGCCTGCATGATATCTGAATGTAAAAGCACCTGTTATATTAGTGATCATAATATGTGTGTGTAATTACATGTATGACTACACTATGGATGGGACTGATGGGTTGGCTAGTTTGTGTACAAATTTCAAATCTCCAGCTACCTGTTTGGTTTAAGCAGGTGAAGTCCTCTCTGTATTTATGACTCCGGTTAAGGAAAAGAAAGCAAAGCTGCTCTTCAGGGTATTGTAATTTCCTCTTGCTGGCTCTGGCTGTGGGCAAAAATAGCTGTTCTGCTTTCTCTCTTCTACTGAGACAAGATATTTAGTGCTTCAAAATAAATGAGCTTCACAGCTTGAAGTACTTGGATTATTTATCTGTGGAGGAAGACTGCTTCCTTTCCCTACATAGAATGCTAGTCTTTCTTTCCACCCCTCCCATCTCATTAAATGGCACTGCTAGACAGGAGAGAGTGTGCTTCAGATTGTTTCTGCATAATGAAATGTTTTAAATTAAGTAACCTCATTCACTGTGGCCTTTACTGTTGGTATGCTATCCGCATAGCTTGGCCGTTGCACTATACGTTTGACACACGTTATACATAAACCAACAATATTGATGTCTACTTCTTTGTATACCGTTGAGCAAATTAGTTTTATACCTCCTAATTCTTCTCTTTTTGGAAGGTAAACATGCTATATCGCTTAGCATGATGACAGAAGAAAACTTTGTATCTTCTTGATGTATCTTGATTTATTTGAGAATTTAAACTGAAGTCTCTTCAGTCCAGCAGATTGACTTAATAGCTGGGCCAATTTTCAGTATTGCCAGCTCCAGGTGTTCAAAAATAATTAAATTTCTTTTTTTAAGAAAATGTTGGGTCCTTTTTATTTGCATTCTGATGCCTTAAACACCAGGGTTCACATTTTAAAGCTTTTCTCCGCAACCATGAGGACTAGAAACTTACTTTTTTATTTTTTTAATGTAAGCTGAGACACTGATCTAATCACATGACTCTAGGAGCTGAGGCTTTAAGAAAAATGCCCAATACAAAAGAGACTTGTGATAAAATCAAAAGAGTTGGAAAAAACTGAGTCTCTTGTGTAACTGGATCGTTTTATGCATCATGTGGCTGGAGGTTGGGAAAAACTCCGCTTTCACTTACCTAGGACAAGTAGCTTTTCCTGATGAGTGAGCTGGATAGGTTCTGGCTCATTCCCTGAGAATTGGGAAAGGAAGGAGCAGAGTAGTTCAAACTCTATCCTTTAGCTGGAGGGGTTGGGGTGGGCAGGAAGCAGAGCAGCAAGCCATGCTGCTGCTTTGCAGTGAAGGAGGTCATTTCGCCTTTTAAGAGAAGGGGAGTGGGAAGGAAGAGCAGAGCAACTGAGGCTGCTGTTGCTCCTGGCAAGGCAGAAACTGACGTCCAGCAGTACTCCAGAATGGCTGCATTCCCTCGGACTGCTCCTTCGCTGATGAACTGAGGCCCTTCTCACTTAGCCACCATTGTAGCCATTGCTTTGGTTTGGAGTCAAGGATTTCTCTTTCTCCCAACGAGACTGAGGTGGAATGCAACCAGAACACGGAAGACAAAGGGTTTGTCAAGCAGTTTAGATCCCAACTGTAGCTTTCCTGCCCAGGGAGCGCCGGAGCCTAGACAGGGGCTGCCCAAAGCATGCTGCTGCTGCTTTTCCTGGTGGGGCATGGGAGTGAGAAGGAGAGCAGCCCATGTGGAAGGCCAAGGGTTTCCTACATGTCCAGAATGGCAGCAGCCCTACAGAAGCCCTGCAAACAAAATTAGGGAGCCTGGAATTAATTAATTAGGTGTATGTAGGTGGAGGGGGTGATAGGAGGGAAGGAGATGTCAGGACTGATTTTTATTAGGAGGACCTAGGAGCATGATGGTGCAGGACGTTTTAATCTGGACTGACTAAACATAGTCCTGTGGAGATCAGGTGTTGAGACTTTTCAAGTGCTACACATCACCACATCCATCTTGAACTCTACTAAGGATAATTCAGATTAGAAGGTGAAGGAAAAATGAAGTCTATTTTTAAGAGGGAAAAAGTCTGCTGTCTGTTCTGGAGGGGGAAAAAACCCAGCAGATTCAGTTTGTACAGAAGTTAGAACAATTCATTATGAAAGGGCTCAACGGGTAGTGATCAATGGCTCCCTGTCTAGTTGGCAGCCAGTATCAAGTGGAGTGGCCCAAGGGTCAGTCCTCGGGCCGGTTTTGTTCAATATCTTCATTAATGATCTGGAGGATGGTGTGGATTGCACCTTCAGCAAGTTTGCAGATGACACTAAACTGGGAGGAGAGGTAGATACGCTGGAGAGTAGGGATAGGATACAGAGGGCCCTAGACAAATTAGAGGATTGGGCCAAAAGAAATCTGATGAGGTTCAACAAGGACAAGTGCAGAGTCCTGCACTTAGGACGGAAGAACCCCATGCACCGCTACAGACTAGAGACCAAATGGCTAGGCAGCAGTTCTGCGGAAAAGGACCTAGGGGTTACAGTGGATGAGAAGCTGGATATGAGTCAACAGTGTGCCCTTGTTACCAAGAAGGCCAATGGCATTTTGGGATGTATAAGTAGGGGCATTGCCATCAGATCGAGGGACGTCATCGTTCCCCTCTATTCGACATTGGTGAGGCCTCATCTGGAGTACTGTGTCCAGTTTTGGGTCCCACACTACAAGAAGGATGTGGAAAAATTGGAAAGAGTCCAGCGGAGGGCAACAAAAATGATTAGGGGACTGGAACACATGACTTATGAGGAGAGGCTGAGGGAACTGGGGATGTTTGGTCTTCAGAAGAGAAGAATGAGGGGGGATTTGATAGCTGCTTTCAACTACCTGAAAGGGGGTTCCAAAGAGGATGGATCTAGATTGTTCTCAGTGGTAGCAGATGACAGAACAAGGAATAAAGGTCTCAAGTTGCAGTGGGGGAGGTTTAGGTTGGCTATTAGGAAAAACTTTTTCACTAGCAGGGTGGTGAAACACTGGAATATGTTACCTAAGGAGGTGGTGGAATCTCCTTCCTTAGAGGTTTTTAAGGTCAGGCTTGACAAAGCCCTGGCTGGGATGATTTAATTGGGGATTGGTCCTGCTTTGAGCAGGGGGTTGGACTAGATGACCTCCTGAGGTCCCTTCCAACCCTGATATTCTATGATTCTAAGGGGAATATCAAGATGGTAGAATCTCAGGGAAGGAAAGTAATTTTTAAACTCCACTGTAGCTAACATGCCAGAGGCTCTTCCTCCATTTCATTTTCTCCCTGAGACCACTTAGAGAAGCAGTCAGACCTCCTTGGCTTGCCTGCCAGCTAAACAGCAATGACACCAACCTGGGGGTGTGTGTCTCATTTTCTATATAGTCAACACCATCACAAAGATCCCACTGCCTAAAAGCACTTGAATGAAGAACAGCTGGTCAAGTAGAAGCAATGTTTTGAAGAATTGGCTAGGCCACTGGTTTCTCCTCCTTTCAAAGTGCATTTCCCTCCCTAATTCATCGAAGAGGTGCAAAGCTTCACGGTCCTGCAGAATTTAGTATCCCTGTCAAGAAACGCTGTTTGCTAGGAGACTTTGACCCATCCTCCCTAGTGAGGATCTGGCCAAAGCAATCCATGCATTCGTTGCTTCCATACTGGATTACTGTAATTCTGGGGTTGAAGGTTGAAGCGATGCAGAAATTCCAATTGCAGAGAATGCAGCAGCTCACCTTCTCAACAGGAGGAGCTGCTATGAGTATGTCATCCCTGACTGTGAGCTCTACATGCTCCACTGGGTGGGTCCTACTCCACTTCTAGGCCTTGGGGTACATCAACAACTGGGGTACATCAACAACTGCATCTCCATCTGTAATCCACTAAGACAACTGAAGTCTTTTGGAACAATGCAGTTAACAAAAGCCAGGCAAAGAAGTACCAAGGATCTCATTGCTTCGACAATGTGCTTCAAGACCATCCTTTTTGGGAGAAAAAACAAACTTTTAAAGCATAACCAGATAGGGATTGCCCTACTCAGTCACATCCGTGGTCCATATAGTGAGATGCCCTGTCTGGCTGACCAGTATCAGATGCTTCATAAGAAGGTGCAGGAAATCCTAATTACTGTATTTCCTACCCATAAGAGAAGTCTCCCCCCACCCCCCTTAATCCCCATCAATTAGTGGCACTAATTTTTGATGAATGATTTTATCCAGTGCTTAATTTGTAATGAAAGACTTGCCAAGGCTCAAGCAATTTGGTGATGGGGCTCAAGCAATTTTTTTTTTTTTTTACATTGATAATTGATGCAGCAAGCCCAAAAGTACCGAGGCTATGAACTGCCAAGCCTAGAGGTGCCTGGGCTCAGCTCTGGCAAGCCCTATCACAAATTAAACACTGAGTTTATCCTTTTATAAAAATGTAAATCTGTCTAATATAACTGGATGTTCTCATTACTTGTATAAATGTCATGTGGTTACAAAAATTCCTTTTCTTGCTTAAGTCTAGTTAGTCCCCTTCTTTTTGCATTATTAGAAAAGGTTTAAAAAAAAAAAGCATTTGATCCACCTTTGCTGCAATCATTCATACTGTTTGTATTCCTCCCTCATGAGCCCTTTCATCCAGCTCACCTCAGTCTTTTTAATCTCTCCTCATATGGAAGTCTTTTGTGGCCTCTAATCACTGTCATCACCTTTTTCTTCTAGATAACCTGTTTTTCTGTTATATCTTTCCTTGGATTCACTAAGAGGGTTGGAGGAGAAACCTGAAGAGACCTAAAGAGATTGGAAACACAGGGAAAATGCAACAGTATGAGATTCAGCTTGGAAAAATGCAAGCTAATGCTGCTGGAACTAATGAACTAAGTTTCTGTACCTGGCTTGGAGATAGGACCAGAAATAATATAATGTCTGGTGTGAATATGGAATGGGGTGTGGGGTGAAGTAATGTGACAGCTATGAAATGTATGTAACCACAATTGGAATGAAATTAATACTTGGTGTAACTCCATTTAGTTTCAGTAGGTTTATGCCTGGGTGAATGTTGTTCACTGTTAAAACAAAAGGAGGACTTGTGGCACCTTAGAGACTAACCAATTTATTTGAGCATAAGCTTTCATGAGCTACAGCTCACTTCATCAGATGCATGTAGCTCACGAAAGCTTATGCTCAAATAAATTGGTTAGTCTCTAAGGTGCCACAAGCACTCCTTTTCTTTTTGCAGAAACAGACTAACACGGCTGCTACGCTGAAACCTGTGTTAAAACAATTAGTAGATATTTACCACAGTACTAGTACCAGTACCTGGTGAGTGAAGTGTTGTAAGGTAGCTGGTAATTCTATATGTTTGAATGTTCACTGCCCATATTCTTAACTAGTGTACATTTTAAAGCATTACTGCGTATCCAAGGGTTGTATGTTTGTAGGCCTTTACTAATGCTGAACCCACATTTTTTTTTCTTAGCATTATTTTAGCCATGTTTTAAGAAACCGTTGAGGACACCTCATACCCTGTGTAATGCTAACAAAAATTATAGCAGGATGGTACTGGAGATTCAAGAACATTTTTTAAAAAATCAATGACAAGTGTCTGCTTTTAAAAATTATTTCAAACAAGTGACAGTCTCGCTACAAAGTTCAGATCTGGTTTTCAAACAAACGCAGGTGTTCAGATTTGGGGATTTACAGCATTTTAGGTAGAGAAATGGATCTGAACAAAAATCCTCAGTGGAACTTTATGCTACAGTAGCATAAGCAGAATGTACATTTTCTGTTTATGATCAGTTTAACTGGCTATTGTAGGTCCCCTGCCCACACTAAGTGCAGTGCAAAAGTAAACTGCATATATGGTGAAAAGGAAACCACCACTTTTAACCTGTTAAGTTTGATAATAGATACACAAGTTCTTTTACAAGTGTATTTTCAGAGTGCTGGATAAAATATTTTTTCTGTGATGGTAACAAATGAGGATTTCTATTAAAATATAATATGTACTTTGTATGCACATTTTTTGAAATGGTATATTGACAGTGTCCCTTTAACTATCAAGATATTTCTAATGAAAATATTGTAAAAGAATCCCTCCAAAATATTTTGTGTCCGGACTACTTGAGCATCCTTACAAATGTTCCTCTATTAGGGGAAAAAAATTCAAGGTAATGTGATTAGGCAGAACACTATTCATGTCTCCTTAAAAGCTGATATTGCTATCATTACCTCACAGCATCTCTGAAGACTTGGGTGACCCATCCTGAGGTACCATAAAATGATGGGATGCCTACTGCCAGGATGCTAGAAATAGGAAGAAGAAAATTTAAAACTGCAGGAAAAAAAGAAAAGATAGCTCGGATAAAATGAATGCCTTTTGTTTTAGAGGATGCTCCTAACTAAACACGGATATTTCAACAATGTAATGGAAGAGTTTTTTCTAAATTGCTGACTTTCAAAACATTTTTAACTGAATACTCCAGCAGAACAATATTGAACAGCAGGGAGCTGACAAAGTTGATTTCTTTTTGTCCTTTCAGTTTCCAGATTAAATACAGCTGAAATAATAATGGCTGCTGTTAGATTTTTTTTTTTTTAAATAATTGCTAAACCAAGTGAAATAAGGTAGGGTGAAAAAATTGTTACACAGGTCAGTATGTATTTTAAAATGTTTTCCTGTGTCTCAGTGTACTGCTAGTTTATGCCCCAGTCCCGTGATCTGTGCAAATAGATTCTTGTGCCCACACATATTTTGGGGGTGGGTTAAAAGCCACTGTTTCCCCTTTTCCCTGCCCCCCCCCACTCCATTGCTCCTACATAGATGAATGCAAGATGGAAAAGGGGACCAGAGTTCTCTTCGAAGTTTGAATGGATTTTTGACTGAGAATTTTTTTGAACCTGGGTAGATGTGTGTGAACTTCGCTTTGGGTCTGTGCCAGAAAATTTTGCACAGCTCTAGCCAAAACAGTGTAATGACTGGTTCCTGTTGCTATGCCCCTCCTGGATCCTTGTTACTGTGCATATTGTTTGCAGGATCAGGGTCTAAGTTAACTACTTTAAACATAGTAAAAAGATATGTGTACACACACACACACGTTTTAATTATTTGGTTTGATTCTCTTGGTTTAGTTGGTTTGGGTAGCTTTTTAGAAGGTCGCTTAATTTGGCAGCCTTGCAAAAGGACAGTTACTCTGGTGGGATGCAGACAGCGAAGTTGACTTGATTTGTACTGCTGTTCAGGGTATAAATCAAATGGGCACTGCTGGATATCAAGTTTCAGCATCTTGACACAATAGGCAAATGTGCTGCAATCCAGACCTGACCTCAGTTTGGGGAGATGTTGAAGGGAGAGTGTAACTGGAGGGAATCATATGGTAGAATGAATGAAAGTATTGATGCTTTTGGTTTGTTCAGATAAAGTAATTTGTTACTTCCATTAGTGTTGTTAATTAAACCTCATATGTCAAAAGATACAGAATATCCTTAAATCAAACTTTAATACTTTTGAAAACACCATTTTTCTTTCTTTGCCTATTAGTAAAATTTTGATTATCATGGATGAGTGTATTTAAAAAAAAAAAAAATCTATTCCTAAACCTAGTTTTGAATCATGAAACCTGGGTTCTTCTATTCCAAATCCTTCCACTGGCTGGCTGCATGGCCTTGAATAAGTCAGTGACCTTTGGATTTTACTTAGCCATTTGTATGGTAGAGTTCATAATGCTTATGTGTCTTTTGATATCTCTGGATGGAAAAAGGTGTGAGTGCAAAGTATTATTTATATTATTGAGTTGATTAAAAATAACTAAGGACCTGATCCAATATGCACTGAAATCACTTGCGGTCTCTTCATTTACTTCAGTGGTCTTTGGAACAGGTCCTAAATGAATACGAACAACATTATGAAAACATAGTCTATATATAAAAAGAAAAGGAGTACTTGTGGCACCTTGGAGATTAACAAATTTAGTTGAGCATAAGCTTTCGTGAGCTACAGCTCACTTCATCGAATGCATTCAGTGGAAAATACAGTGGGGAGATTTATATACATAGAGAACATGAAACAATGGGTGTTCTCATTACAGTGTGTATGGTAACACCCATTGTTTCATGTTCTCTATGTATATAAATCTCCCCACTGTATTTTCCACTGAATGCATTCGATGAAGTGAGCTGTAGCTCACGAAAGCTTATGCTCAACTAAATTTGTTAATCTCCAAGGTGCCACAAGTACTCCTTTTCTTTTTGAGAATACAGATTAACACGGCTGCTACTCTGAAACTAGTCTATATATAATCAGTATATTTTTAAAGTAGACTATAGTTGAAGTATAATAGATGTCTCACATGTATCCTTGTAAAGTTTCATCTAGTTTAAGTCCAAGGGTTGGTGTTACACAAGATCATTCCTTTAAAAAGTTTACAGTTTGGTCCAAAATGTGTGTGTGTTAAAAATTATTTGTTTAGTTATCCATCAAAGATGGTGTTAATAACAGAAACAAAGAAATGTGTGGGGTTTGGTTGGGTTTTTTAATTCAAAGGACCATGTCAAGCTGTCTATCCTTTTAATTGCTGACTAAGGACTAGGTCTACCAAACACTGTATGTGTTTGTCTTTACTCATGTCATGTAATCCCACTGAAATTAATAGGACTGTGCACTTCAGTAAACCCACTAACATACATAAAGATTTGCAGGATTGGATCCTAAAACGAAGTAAGGGAAGCTTTCAAATGACCTAGTAATTTTCTCATTCAGGAGAACAAGAAAAGGAGTACTTGTGGCAGCTTAGAGACTAAGGTGCCACAAGTACTCCTTTTTCTTTTTGTGGATACAGACTAACACGGCTGCTACTCTGAAACATAGACTGAAAGTGAGTTATGGGCTGTAGATGACATTAAGTCACGTATGTTGACTTCCGTGTGTTAGATTTAAAAGTCATTGCAGTTTTTTGTAAGCATTAAGGCTTATTAATTTAGTTAGGCTTGGGATTCAAACAAACCTTCAGGGCAGAATTGACACATCTGCAATTAATCCTACTTCCTTTAAAAAAAGAATACAGATCTATTTAAACACATAACAAGAGATTACAGGAAAAATGAGGTGGGAATGCTTCAGTGTCTTTTGATTTTTTTTAAAAAAAAATCAATAGTGGATTTGTAAGAATATTTCTGATTTTGATATATCAGAAGCACAATGTGTGACGTTGCACCCCATAATTCTTTATAGAAATAGGCTTATGAGTGTAAATATGACATAATGGGACTATATTTTATATTAACATGTAACACATCTTTGCAAAGGTTATGATCTACTGAATATATTAATCCTATTTGTATGCATGTATCATTTTTATATATGAAGTTATGAGTGTTGGCTCTATGCTTGTATTTAAAGTTTCAGAGTAACAGCCGTGTTAGTCTGTTTGCCTTATGTGCTTCTTTCAGCAAATTTGGTCAACATACTGTAAAGGGTTTCAGAGGAACAGCCGTGTTAGTCTGTATTCGCAAAAAGAAAAGGAGTACTTGTGGCACCTTAGAGACTAACCAATTTATTTGAGCATGAGCTTTCGTGAGCCACAGCTCACTTCATCAGATGTATACCGTGGAAACTGCAGCAGACTTTATATATACACAGAGAATATGAAACAATACCTCCTCCCACCCCACTGTCCTGCTGGTAATAGCTTATCTAAAGTGATCATCAGGTGGGCCATTTCCAGCACAAATCCAGGTTTTCTCACCCTCCCCCCCCACCACACAAATTCACTCTCCTGCTGGTGCTAGCCCATCCAAAGTGACAACTCTTTACATAATCAAGTCGGGCTATTTCCTGCACAAATCCAGGTTTTCTCACATCCCCCCCACCCCCATACACACACAAACTCACTCTCCTGCTGGTAATAGCTCATCCAAACTGACCACTCTCCAAGTTTAAATCCAAGTTAAACCAGAACATCGGGGGGGGGGGGGTAGGAAAAAACAAGAGGAAACAGGCTACCTTGCATAATGACTTAGCCACTCCACATCTGAGCTTTCCTGGGAATGTTCAAACTAACATGTAAACAATGGCATCGGCCTGCAAAAAGCTGAATCATTCATACACATGTGACTTGCCCAGTTGGCTAGAGACTCCATCTGGTGGCTGTGATGTTGCACAAGAGGGAGAGTATAAAAGGCCCTGGAAACCCCTCCATTTTGTCTTCAGCTGGCTCAAAAGATAACCTCTGCACCCTAACGAGATGCGTGAAAGAAACTGAACGAAGGATAGTAACTATGGGGGTGTGAGTGATAGCTGAACCCAGACTAGGAAGGAGTCTAGTCTGTCAGAAAAGCTTACTGGAACATCTCTGAGGGTGAGTTTTACCTGGATTTAGTTTCCTAGTGTATTAGGCTTAGACTTGCGTGTTTTTGTTTTATTTTGCTTGGTAATTCACTTTGTTCTGTCTGTTATTACTTGGAACAACTTAAATCCTACTTTATATTTAATCACTTTTGCTTATTAATTGACCCAGAGTACGTAATTAATACCTGGGAGGGAAATATGCACAGCTGTTTGCTCCATCAGTGTTATAGAGGGCGGACAATTTGAGTTTACCTGTATAAGCTTTATACAGAGTAAAACGGATTTATACCTCTACCCTGATATAACGCGGGTTCGCATACAACACGGTAAAGCTCCGACATGCCGTTCTGAGCAGCGTGTTAAGGGTGCTGGGCTGGGGCTGAGGGGTTGGATAAGGGGCAGAGGGTCCTGGGGGCGGTCAGGGACTCCCCCGCCCACAGGGTCAGGGAGGCAGGAGCTGTGGGGGGGCATTTTTGGGGTCCCCCCAGTCCCAGAGTGGCCTGGGGGCCGGGAGCAGCCCGCTCCGCTTCCCTCGCCCCAGCCCCAGCCTTGTCGCTCAGGGGAGGGGGCTTGGGGGAAGGGATCCCTCCCCCCCCTTCCCCGTACTCACTGGCAGCAGCAGAAATGGGGCAGCCCGCTCCACTCCCAGTCGCAGCGCTCCGCTTCCCGCTGCTGGTGAGTGCGGAGTGTGCCCTTTCCCCAACCTCCCCACGCTCACTGGTGGCTGGGAGGTGGTGGAGTGGAGCAGGCTGGGGCCACGTTGCTCTGCTTCCCACTGCTGCCAGTGAATGCCTGTCAGGGCATGGTGTGTGTGGATAGGGGTTGGAGCAGTCAGGGGACAGGGAGCAGGGGGGTTGGGTAGGGGCTGAGGTCCTGGGGGTGATTAAGGACAGCGGTCTCTGGAGGGGACGACCAAAGCAAGTTCAGTATAGTGTGGTGAGATTTTTTTGTCTCCCGAGGACCATGTTATATTGGGGTAGAGGTGTATTTGCGGTTTGGATACCATTAGGAACTCGGTATCTGGGTGCTAGAGACAGGAGCACTTCTTAAACTGTTTTCAGTTAAGCCTGCAGGTTTTGGGGGACGTGGTTCAGACCTGGGTCTTTGTTTGTAGCAGGCTAGCATGTCTGGCTCAACAAGCCAGGGTACTGAAGTCCCAAGCTGCCAGGGAAAATGAGCTTGGGGTAGTCCCAGCACACCAGATGGCAGTTCCAAGGGGGTTTCTGTGACGCAACCTGTCACACTATGATGAGAGAGAAAAGTCATTGGGGTTGGTCAAGATGACTAGTATTTCTGGATTTTCAACATGAACTTCTGTTTCTATTCTAAATTGTTACATTTCGTACAAAAAGTATGAGGTAGCACTTAATGTAAAATACACTGTCCTATATCAGTGTCCAGTCATGTGAGTGCCACAGAGTAGAAACGCTTTAAAGTCAGAACTGGCACTAACATTTTCTAATTCAGTACAGTCTATCTTGGTAGCCTACTGTGCATAAAAATATAGGCTTATTTCTCTTCTGGCTTAAATCAATGGGAGGTAAGGCTATGGTTCGTCAGACATGCTAAATAAGAATTCCAGTGTCCTTTAAACATGTTTCGGCAGTTACAGTAGACAAGCAGCTTTTGGTTTAAAATTGCAGAAAACCAAGAGGAAAGAATTGAAGACCTAGGGCTACTTAGTAATGAACTTGACCCCATTCTAAAAGGGCTCAAAAACTGAATGAACTAGAGTTGTAATCTAGTTGGTAGCAGTCAAAGTAGATGCTGTGAAGAAATTCTAGAATTTTATTTGCAGTGAATTATAAAGGTTCTGGAGAAGGATAACTTCGGTCCCACTTGCAGTGTTTAGGCTCCATGTATTATCTGAGACCTCAAGCTTCTTTGTGACTCTTGGAGAACATTGAGCAAAATTCTGAAATTACCAAATGAACCATAGGGTGGGAAAGTAAATGTTGGTGTAAAAATCTGTAGCTGCTCTTTGTTTTTGGAGTTGGATTATCCTGCAGTACAAACAGAAGAAATAAAATATTGCACGTCAGCATGAGCAAGACTAATCAGATCCATTAAAATGTTAAGCAGTAAGACATACGTCGCATAAATCCAATAACTCTAGTAGCAGTTTCATTTTTTTGGCTCTATTACCAAACCATTTCTTCCTCCACTTGGGGCTGTTCTACCCTGTTCACTAGAAATTTGCAGTATCTTGGAGTGAAATGGGAAAGATACTTATGTGGCTGGGCTTTCAACTCTACTGTCAGTCTGCCAGAAAAGGCCCAACTATATTTCCAGGTCCACGTTTTTTTTGCTGTCTTTACCCTGTTGGAATAAGCAAGAGGGGTTGCAGTCAGTAGCACTTCAAAGCAAGTGTGGAAAATGGGGATCTGTATACAGTTAGGCTTATTGTGCCAGGCTGAAAGTTCAGTTTTAAGGGCAGACATAGAAGTGTCTTTTTGTTTCCCTTTCTGACCCCACACACATGCTTTGCAAATGGAAGAATAAAATTGTAATAGCTGCTATCTCTACAGTTACTGAGGTTTGTATGATGTACATATTATTGCTTAATAGTCTAATGAACTCATTTTAGTGACTTGTACGGTCATGCTAGGAGTTTTGGTTTCATTCTTACTGGAAACTGCATCAGGCTTCTTGTTGGTTCATGTCAGGGCTGTCCTTCTCTTTCTCTGCCAGACTTGCAAAATATTTTGTCACTTTGTTCCTTATTCCCCCAAAAGCTAACTTTCTGTGCAACATTACCGTCTTCAAAAAATGACTGACTCTAGTCTGCCAAAACCTCACACCTCACTGTGCATTCATATTAATGCACAATCTGTTTTTTGATTTTGTAAATGATAGGAGTATGTGGCCCAACCACCCCACTCCAAAGGAGCTGCCAGTCACCTGTTGGGGTGGAGTGGATAGCAGACTGTATGAGGCCATGTGCACTTTGGATTGCCGTCAGCTCTATCCTACAATAATGTTATTGCTGTACCCTCCATAAAGCCCAGCAGATCGTACCCCCTCAGATACAAGTGGAATAGCACTCTCTGGTGGTCATACAAGCAGTATAGCCGCACCAGCACCAGATATCTGCATGTGTTAATGGCAGTCTGTCTTGTCCACACTAGAACAGTAAATACTTTGCTAATGGGATTTCAAGTAGCATTTTCTACAGAATATTTAAACTGGTTTATTGCATAGTTGTTGAGCACTACCACCATTTCTGTATATCGGCTGTAAACTAAGATATCCAAACAGTTTGATGCATAATTATGGAAATTCCAGATTAAAACAACTGTGTTTCTCCGCTCTTTCTTTTCTTTGCCTGTCCCCATCCTTCTTGGCCCTTATCATCCCTTTAACGTATGTATTCATCTGTCTTCTTTTCTTTTTCTTCCCGAATTCTTTCTTTGCATTTCACTCATGGGGCAGAGCAATAATACAGGTAAAGCAGAGAGGAGAGGCACTTTCATTCTGGCTTTATGGGTCTGGCTGCAAAGCAAAATTGCCTCTCGTGCAAAGTTGTGGAACCTTCTATTGCTCACGAAAAGGAGGCAGCCAGTCAGGAGCTCTGCCTGGCTCAGGGAGAGCCCATTCAGTCCCCCAACACTTTGTTGCACTAGTGACTGAAGTATGTGACTTAGGTAGGGGGCATTGCTGTGCTGGTGGATGCTCGGCTCCCTATGCCTTGCCTGGCAGGTTTTTCTAGTACAGAACTTCAGTTAAATACCAGGTACAGTGTTATATATTTGTATGAAATATGTGGGTTTAATTGTTGTTAAAACTTGGTGCTTCAAAAATTTCAAGAGGAGGCCCCTGCTCCACCCATTTCATGATTTTTCTGCCTCAGATTTTTCTACTGCTGAAATCTGAATGTTGTCATCTACACCACCTAATATTCCAGACTGACGTGGGTTTATACAGAGGGGTGTTGGAGAAGGAGAGGGCCTGTTGTGAAGAGTGACAGAAGGGTTGCAGTACTTGTATAACAAACTTACTGAGGTTTGGCTCATTGCCTTAATTGTTTGTTGACCATCAACATGTATCTTGTGACCACTCAGTTTTACTTTGACTCTGATAACTGGTTATTTCAATCAGTTTCTGTAGCTGACTTGGTCACAGGCAACAAAAAGTTCTGTGCCTCATTGAGACAGCACTTTTGCTCATCTGTGTTCTGGGATTAAACAATCCTCCTGAGAGAGTGCAGTGGGTCTTCACCATCAAAGCACGAAAGCTTTGTATTGAAAGAAAGGTTGGAAAGGTGATCAAGTTGCATTGGTATTGCTGTTTTTTATTGATGCAGCACCGTTAGTGTCCATGCATTTACAGATCTTAAAAAAGACAGGTCACTGACTAAAGGAGCTACACTTTCAACTAGACACAACATAGAAAGGGATGCTTATGGGAAGGTGCAGGGGAAGAGGATGCAGGAGGACAGAGTTTACATAGCTGAAAGCTCTTTGTATAAATATCTTGGTCTTTCCATTTTGTTATAGTTTTATATGTAAAAGTGTGTAGACAGTGTCCAGAATTTCCAGCTAGGGTGGAAGTCAGTGATGGAAGGCTACTTGAGAGAACTCATCACTTCAGTCACGCAAATTCTGGTCTTCCACTTGAAAGATGCTGTTGCATGCTCCTTTTTAGATAATTTTATTTAGTGCTTATTTTGTACTCTTGATCTCATCCGGACTGATTCTCATAGAGTAAGAATACATTAGTGTTGTAAGTTTCTGCTCAGCTCAG